CCCCCCCCCCCCAGGCTGCAGCACCCTGGGGGCCATGAAGGACCCAGCCAGGAGCCACTGGGAACTCAGGGCTAGGCTGGAGCCACGCGGGGCTTGGCACTCACTGCAGCTCTGTGAGGCAAACTCCCGGAGGTCCAGGTCCTTCAGTTGGAAGTTGACGAAGGTGGTGAGCTTGCTCACTCGTATCCTGGACTCTGAGAAGCGCTTCAGGTCTAGACGGGCATGTCAAGGAGCCAAGAGACAAAGAGGAGCATGCAAGGGACCACCTGCCCACCCACCAGCACCCCCTGGCCCTGCCCCTCCGCCTGAAGGATACGAAGCACCAGGATCTTGGGGAACTTCTGGATGCTGAATTTCTTTGTGCACCTTGTCCTGGCTTTGCAGCGACAACACGTCTGTGGGAGACAAACAGCATGAGCGGGAGGGTTACAGCAGAGCACCAAGCCCACAGTCCTGGCAACACAGGCATGGAGGGAAAGGGGCTCAGGCTGCACCAAGGCAAGCCCATTTGTCCCCGTGCCCCACACCCCGTACCGGTTTCTCGTCTCCATCCAACACATCCTCTTTGGTGAAGAGCCGTAGGCAGTCCATGAGGGTCACCTCCCCGTAGCCTTTCTGTGGGAGCACAGTGCGGGTCAGGGACAGGGGCAGGGCAGGGGGCAGGGGGCCGGAGGTCGGCAAGAACCTCTTACCTTGGGGATGGGCAGGGACAAGTCCCAGAAGGGGTCGAAGGCTGTGGAGCAGTAGCCGCACTCGCTGCAGGTCAGTGAACTCTTCAGCTGCCCAACGAAGAGGTCTGGTGGGGATGGGACAAAGCAGGGTGAGACTCCCAGTTCCCAGCCCCACTCCCATCCAAGCCCTGCCCTGCTCTCCTCACGGCCCTGCTCACCACTGATGCGGCTGTCCTCCCTCTCCTGGTACCTCCTCCACATCTGGCGGCTCTTCTCATCGTCACTGCAAGGGATGGGGAGACAGAGCGGTACTGATTGTGGCCTGGGGGACACCAGCCCCTGCAGTCCAGCCCCGAGGGACCCGTGTGATCACTGTCCCTGGGCCAGGCTTGCAAGCAGTGAGCTTGTCCGTCAGGCTTGTCCACTGCCTCCGGCCCAGCCAGCACTTACGGGAGGTGGTCCAGGGTGTCCGTGCTGGCCCGCGGCCGCACCAGCACACGGTTCACCTCGCTGTGCAGCCCGTCGAGGAGGAACCGCAGGAACTCCTGTGCATCCTGCTGGCTGCAAGACACAGGGCATGGCCAGTGAGTGGTGGCAGGGGCTCAGTCACCCTGCCACCCCCACGTCAACACCCCTTACTTGTAGCCGACGAAGCGGGGGGCGTATCTCTGGATCTGCGTCTTGAACTCGGAGGGGCTCACGCTGTCGTTGGGGGACGAGGTCCAGAGCAGCTGAATCAGCTTTGCAAACTCTGTGGGCAGAGAGGCAGGTCCGTGGCACAGCTGGCCTGGGGTAGCCCTGGTAGCATGGCGTCACCCTGCCTTCCCAGGGAGAGCTCAGCACCCTGCTCTGGCGTCCCTGTGGCCATCCCTCTCCCCTCGAGAGAGGGGACCCTATCCTCCCACTGGCTGGGCACCCACAGCACTGCACCTGGCCCGGCAAGGCTGGGGAGAAGCACCGACCTCTGGGGGGTGTCCCCAGGGCAGAGAGGATGTGCCGTGGGGCAGGAGGCACAGTAGCCCCACCAGGTGTGTGGCCAGGATTGACCGTTACCTGTCATGAGCGCGGTGCGCATGCGGCTGTTGTTGTTGAGGTCCCGCAGGTACTGGTTCTGCAGGCAGTAATCCCGCAGCTCCTTGGTGTTGCTCAGGCACTGCAGGATGGAGTTCATGAAGCACTGGGGGAGGCAGAAGAGAAAACCATGGCAACGGGAGGCAGAGAGAGGCAGGCGGTGGCAGGGGGACACCTGGGGCGGGTGGGCAGAGGATGAGGATGAAGCAGTGCAGAGCACAGGAACATCTTCCTCTGCCAGCACCGTTGGGAGCAGGGTGCAGGGAACTGCTGGGGTGGGAGTGTGGGTGCTGGGGTCAAGGCAAAGGGACAGAGCTTCCTGTTGCCCCACAGATGTGCCCAGAGAAGAGCAGGGTGTGAGCTGGGGCTGCACAGCCAGGTGCCCGGGTAAGCACTCACCGTATTGCCGAGGTTTCGCAAGCCGGTCAGTCCCTGCACTGCCTTGGAGCTCTGCAGAGAGAGGGAACAGGGCTGAGACGGTGCCCGGCACAGGCTGGTTGTGTCTGTGGGCAGCCCATGGTGCCACGGGCATCCACGTGGAGCATACCCTCAAGTGCAGGCAGAGGCAGCTGCGCTCTGCACCAGTTGCCTGCAGGACCGTGGCCGAGGATATGGTGGGAAGCCACTACTGGCCTGCCCCATCCCACTTGCTTGGCTGCTGCTGCTTCTTGGCTCCCTGGCCCAGGACAACATGTGGGGCTCAAAGTCCTCCCTGCCTGGTGGCACTGCTGCCCCATGCCCTGTGCTGCAGGCCAGGCCAGCCACCCCTGCTGCCTCCCCTTGTCAGCACTGTGCCCTGGGAAGCTGGGGGGTGGCAGTGCCCCATGCCTGCCCCACAGCTACAAGAGGTGCACGGTGCCCACCTTGTCCATGCTGGGTATCCCCTCCCAGAAACCCGGCACAAGCACGGCCCAGGCTTTGGCACAGCTATTTTGCAGGATAAAGTCCACCTGGGAAGACGCAAGCCCAGCCCTGCACCAGTCAGCCCAGGGGATGTGGCTGCTTGCCCAGCAGTGCCCTCCCAGCTGCTCACTGGCCTGGCTGTGCTGAGCCTGTGCCACAGGGCTCTTCCAGGTGCCCAGCTACATCCTGAGCTGGACAGGCTCACGCCACGCAGAGATGGGCATGGGTAACTGGGTGCTAGGGCCAGGAGGCATCGCCACTCTTTGCTGGAGAGACCGAGAGCACGGAGGGGTCTGGGGAGCCATGGGGCTGCCCACCCCTCTCCCAGGAATGGGGACTGGTGCTGGTGGAGACAAGCGGTGGGAGCCCACAAGCCTGGCACAGAGGGTCGTGGTGGGACAAACCTCCCCAAAGCCATGCATGGAGCAGGGTGGGCGGCCAACAGGGCTCGTGGGGTCAGAGTGCTGATCGTGCCCCCCCAGCCTGGCCAGAATTTAAGGATCCTCAGGTAAAACGCCCCAGCTGCCCACCCCGGGCGTGAGGAGGGGGAGGAGGAGAGGAGGGGAGGGGGCCCAGCAGCTCCAAAATAGCAGCAGCTGGTGTGTGTGTGGGAGGTGCTGAGCACCCAGCCCTGACAGCAGCCCAAAATAACCCAGATCCAGTTACACGTGCTCCTTAGCGACGGTGCAGGCATCACCCACCGCAGGGGAGCCCAGCACCAGGAGGGGCTCGGCCGCCCGGTGCAGGCACACGCGGCTCCACCAGACTGAGCGGGTACCCTGTGTGCCACGTGAGTGCCCCCTCAGTGCCCAGCGCACAGGGCTGTCCCCAGACACGGCCGGACGTGGCGCTCAGTGCTGGGGGTGCTGTGCAAAAGCGACAGGCAACGCCACCTCCTATCCTGGGGGCTGGGGGCAGGCTCAGCCGACAAGGGGTGCCGGCAAGCTGTGGCAGGTCAGTGCCACACCACAGCTGGAAGAGCTGGCCTGGCTCAGGTCCCTGAGCAGACGGGGCTGAGCGGGCAGCAGGAGAGGTGGGTCTGCGTCCCAACAGCCCACATCTCCTGTAGGGGCTGACCCCAGGCTCGCTGCTTGTGTCCCCGTGCCTATTGCAGGGGAGGTCACAGTGCCAAGAGAAGTAGCAGCAACACCTGGGAGCTGCCCCAGTGTGCCCCAGCCATCCCCACCAGGATGCTCTCCAGTTCCCTGCTCGTCCAGTTGCCCTGGTTGGGCAGCTCCCGCTGTGTGCCAGGAGGGACCGGAGCGTGCTGCCAATGTGGGTGCAAACCTCCCCACAGACCTGACATCTGCCCGCTGCCTGGCCAGGCCAGGACCCGGGCTCCCCTCCCAGGGGCTGGAGCAACCCCAGGGGAGGGCTGGGACAGGGGTGAGGTGCCCACCAGGTGCCCCCATGCTGTGGCACAAGCCTGCGTGCACCGAGGTCTTATTTCCCCCCTGGTTTTCCCTCCCCTGGGTGACTCAACTCCAGCTAATCCCCACCGTCCGTCCGGGGCTTTATCTAGGACACGGCACTGCTCAGAGGCGGCGAAGGAGAGCTGGCTCACGCGGCGGCGGCTGGGGAGTCCCCGAGGCTGCACTGCAGGAGGGGGACGGGGGACAGGGGATGGGGACGGGGGACAGGACCCGGGCTGTCCCATCCACGTCCACACGCCAAGTGCTCGGCAGCAGGAGAGCCGGGGCGGCCAGACTTACATATGTGCCCAGACCCTGCCCTCCCGGCCCCCCGCCGCCGCTGTCCCCCCGCCGGCTCTGTGGCCCCCAGGACAGCCAGGCTCAGCCCGGTGACACTGTCCAGGGGCTAACGCGGCCAGGAGCCCTCTCCCCGCGGGCAGGCTGGGCACTCCACCAAGGTCACGGCGGGAGCAGGGCTGGGACAGCGACCCGGCCGGACACGTGCTCTCACCTACTCCCTGACCCTCCTGCAGGACACCGGGGCTCCCCGGCCCCACAGCCCCCCGGCACCCCATCCTCCGCCACGGGGGATGCCACCGGGTGCCCCACGCTCCCTGGCGAGGGCAGGGGCCGCCCCCTCCCCACGCCCCCTCCTCTGCCCCCCATCCGGAGGGCAGGGGTTGCCGGCGGCCGCAGCGCTCCTACCTTGGTCTTGTTGAGGACAAGCCCGACGAAGGTGGAGACCAGCAGGGACCCCGGCATGGAGGTGCGGGGCCGCAGGTCCTTGTGAAGGTCGGGGAGCGCGGGGGGCTCCTCGGGCAGCGTCACGGTGTAGGAG